AAAGTACCTGAAATGAAATACACAGGAGAGCTGCTCATTATATTTTTTTTTTTTTTCAATGCAGCAGTTGAGTAAACCCAAAGTTGAGATTATTATTATTTTGCACTGGAATATCTGCTTTGAATAAGAAAATGTTGAAAGGCTTTTTTTTAGCCTGTATTGCAGTGAAGGAACTAAAGAAGAAAGTTATTTGTGGTCTTAGTTTTCACTTTTGTTATGTAGTCTAACATGCCACAAATTTAGTACTGAGAAGTATTAACGAGTGTGGGGTTTTTTCTACTTTAGGTGTTACAATAGTTATAGGTATAAAGAATTTAATCCTTTACACCTTTCAGATCTTCTGATTATAATATCTGAGATGTATTAGTATGTTGTTAGCTGCTTACTTTAGAATGTATTCTGTTCTGTGCTCTGAAAGAAGCAAGAGCAAGTAAAAGTACTTGCAATAAATGTTGTAGGTGGATACTTATGCAGGAAGGAACTTCAATTTTGAGGCTATTTATGTAACTTTAATTGTTGAGTGCTTGATTATTGTTACATATACACTGGAGTTGCAGAGTTTATTCCGTGCAATTTCCAATTGTTAAAAAGCAACAGCAGTTCTTTAACCTTTGGATGTTACAGACCAGGCAATTAAACATTTTTTTAATCTCCTTTTATCTTGGGCAATATAACTCCATTTTCAAGTTACCTTAACTCAGGAGGAAGATGATGAAAATTTCAAAGGAGATACTGCTTTAAGTATTTTTACAACTTCCAAGTACTGTTCTTAAAAAGACTCATTTTATAGAAACTGCCTTTGAGTGGGGAGGTTTAGTTTAACACAAAGAGTGGAGCAGTTTAGCATCATGCCTGGATAGAGCAGTGAGGAACCACAGCAGCTCCATAATTTACATTTTTAGATTTAAGCATCTATTCTATCACTTTTGAAACTTTATGAACAAAGCATTCTGTGTTTTACCAGGCCTTTTTGTTGTGCATGTGCTACCTTGCCATGCTACTTGGAAACTTAACTTCAGTCCTCTCTCTCTCTCATATCACACTGCAATTGTTGCAATTCCTCAACATCGTATCGTAGTGTTCTCTGTTAGTAAGAATCAAGAGAGGTAGCTTCCCTTGATAGGGGAGATTTATTCGCAGGTAGTGTAACTATGAAACTTATGACACCAAGAATCTTTAAGATCGTGTCTTAGCTGTTTGTAGGATGAACAGAGCAAATGTTTTGTGTCGATATGTAGCAGAATATTCACAATGTCTGGAAATGTTCAGCCTTAATATTTAGGAAACTAGTTTGTTTAAGATTGCTTTTAACCCAGCTGAATATGGTCCATTTAAAATATGAACCATTACAGGCTATTTATAATCATGCATTTCAAGGATAGTTCGAGGGAGAGGTGTGTATATATGTATTTTACCTAATGTATCTAAGTTACCAAAATTAAATTACAGAGAATCAACGACAAAGGAGAAATCTCAGACTAAGAAGCCAGCGACAGTCGGACAGCTGTGTACTGAGTAGCGATGATGAAGATGAAACAAGAGATAATGATGTGTATGTGACAGATAAAGTGTCTCGAGAATTGGGACCACTGGAAGATGACACTGCAAGTTCAAAGTATGTATGCCTCATGACCCACCAAACATTGAATTTTGCTTTTCCTATACATACAGGACTAAGTTATATTGCTATAGTCGGCTTTTTGAAGTCTTAATTTAGTCTAGTTAGTTCCCTCTTCCAATGAGTAGTACAACATCACACTTCACATGATGACCAAATGATGCCATTTGCACTTTAGGGTAAAAAGCCAGTCCAAGACAGATGTACAACTTTGCATACAGCCTTAAAGGTGAGTGTGGGGGTATGGCAAGGAAGGAGGATTAGTCACAGACCATAGCTCATAATGTATTGCATTTACTTTTCACGCAAAGCTCTAGCAGTGATGTTAGATATGGAAATATTTTTACTGGTGTTGATGAGGCTTGGTATCACGAGACTGGCAGGCAGCAGCCTGGCAAATTCCAGTAAAAACTATTACTCATTCACTGCTTTCTTTACACACTGTGCCAGTTAACTGCCTTTTTCTCTCGGAGTGGTAACTGTTCTTCCCAAGGTATGCTTGCAAGGCAATTGTGGAGGTAATACTGTTATGGCCAGTTTTTGTTCTGTCCTGTGTATGTTGTGGAGCTCTGATGTTTGCATGCGAGATGGTGATCTTGCTGTTCGGGTCAGGTGCCTGCACAGTAAAGACCCCATTCTGTGGAGAAACAGTAAACTCCTGCTGTAGGAGCACTCCATTATGTTAAGAAAGATGCAATGTATGAGACTAATTAAATGAAATCAGGAGTCCATGTGACCAAGGAAGACAAAGAACATGAGAATTGTGGTATAAACATTTTTTTAAAAAGTGTTTTGGGGGAAAAAAATACAGGTTTTAATAAAGCTGGTGTGCTTTGAGCCTTTTAGACTACTGGAAGGCAATGTAGGAGAGAACTTGGGTATGGAAATTTTGGGTGTCAGGTCTTAAATATGCCACCAAAAGGGCTTACACTAGTCTAAAACATAGTGCATTTAACAGATGGATTTATAGATTTTTTTAAATTTTTGTTGTTAAGTATGTAGGTGAATAAATCCCACTAATTACTTAATATAAAAAAATTAATGTTTTGTTCCTTCAATCTCAAACTTCTCTGTTAAAGAACATGCCTTCCTGCTCTGTTTAGGTGAGGCTGAAACAACGCAGTGCTGCAGCATTTAACATTGACAAAAAGGTACTCATGCTGGAGATTGCCGAGTAACACTGTAGACGGCTCTCTGGCAGTGTTAGACTTGCTTATATGAAGGTTATCATCAATTGTAATTAATTAGTGAGTTGGTATTATAGCTGCTGCATAAAGAATTTGAGTAGTAAAAATGGGAGAACTAATGGAGTTAAATTATGTATGTGAAACTAGGGGTAGATGTTAGTAGTGCTCACTGCTTGAAGTTAAGATTATGGGATAAAGGATATCTCATGGTTTCTATTCCTGTTTTAATAAGTTACAAACTGTTGCTCAGCATGGGCGGTGACATAATAAAGCCAAATGTTTACAGTAAAGACTGAAGCAGCTTGCTGTGGTCGTTTAAAATAGAGATTAATTTGTAAATAAAAGTGGCAGGAAGCTCTTTCTGACAGAGAATACTGTTCAGCACTTATAGTATGATATGTTCCTTACACAAATAGCTATGTCTGTGAGTAAGTGTGTGTGCAATACAGCTGCCGTGGAGGCTGAAGGCAGGAGAGGTACATCTGTAACAACAGCTTGCTAACAGCCACCAAGTCAGTCTTCCTTCTCTGAACTAGAAATTTATTTCTTAATATTCCCTCACATTAGTGTGTTCCTGCCCTACATTTTATAAGGAAGGAGTTCTTGGTATGAATATGTTACTGGACTGGGATGTTGCTAAATTAAAATAGAGGATGTTTTAATTTGGCAATCTCTTTCACACTAGAATGAATACTTTCCAAAGGACAGCTAGATGCTTTTATTAAAAAACTTATTTAGGACCCGTTGAAGATTAATACTGCCATACGTATGCTGCACAGTGCTATAGACTGCTGTTACTTCTAATAGCAGAGCAGGGTGACTAACTGCATCTTCCCCCTAACGAAAACCAAGACACTGGTTCCTTTTGGTAAGGGAGGCCCAAACTACTTAGGAAGTGCAACAAACTGAGAGAGTTAAAGGTACGCAGGGATCTTCAGATGAAACGCGTCCTGCCTCATCTGCGCAGCCGGATGATTAAACCATGTTTTATGTATCGGTAACCCTCAATGCACGGTGAAATTAATGGATGCATGTTCCTTCCAGTTTTGTTCTCTCTACCGCAAGGCCGTCTGGTACTGTTAGCTGTCCGATTTGCATGGATGGCTACTCGGAGGTAAGGATCCACATGTTGTCATCGTTCCTTTTTGGTCAGAGGGGGAACGGGGCAGAGGGTGGGCAGCGCAACTCTGCTGGGCTGTGTGGGATGCCACGGGCAGCGGGCTTGAAGTACAGACCTCGGGCTGAAGGCGAAACTAGCTTGTAACTCCGAGTCATTTCGTGGTGGTGTACGTAGAGGGAGAAACACTTCCCAAGACGGCACTGAAAGATCTTTGGGTTCCTTATTACTGTAGCAGTGATGTACCGATTGCAGCTGCTCCCAAGTCCTATTTGCCTGGTGCCAGTAGACCAGCGAGGTTGAATTCTTTACTCCAATACCTGTTGCGGTTTCTTTTCTTCCAGATTGTGCAGAGTGGACGACTGATTGTGTCAACCACATGCGGCCATGTCTTCTGCAGTCAGTGCCTCCGTGATTCCCTTAGGAATGCCAAGTCTTGCCCAGCCTGCAGGAAGAAACTCACTCACAGACAATGTCATCCCATTTATATATGAGTACTTCTATTTCTCAGGACAGACTCAACTGGATTTTGGGGGAAAATGTCATGTTTTCAGTGCTCTGAAGACTTAAAAGAGCAGCAGGTTGTGCACACATCCAAATAAAACTGGGTTTTTTGGAGAATAACTTGTACATATATAGACAGCTTTTTTATGGTCCAAGCTGCTCCTTGCTATGCCCCTGGTTATGATGTTAAATTTACGACTGTCTCTGAACTAGACCAGCAGCCTGTATCAGCAAGGAAGCAGCTAATCCATTTCCTTCTACTTTTTTAATGCTTAAAGAAGAGGGGTCTGACTATTTTGTTATTTCCTACTCTTTAAATTACTGCCACCATCGCGTACAGCTATGGAATAGTTTCCTTTCAAAATACAGACGAACGATTTGCCGTTTCATTACGCTTTTGGTTTTACCCTGTAAGAAGCTCATGACTCTCTTGCTTTCTGCTCTACCATCTTTGCCCACGTAGAGTAAGTTCTGTAACGATGGATCGTTTTATCATAAATCAATATTAAATTGACAACCAGGGTAATGCAATAAAATAACCTGCTGTTAACCAGCAATCAGGTTTTTTAAGCAGAAGCCTTGAACGTGTAGATGTCTTTATGAACTCCGTGAGATCGAAAGCGCGTAGACAAATTGCAACGTGTACAATGTGAAAATACTTATTTGAATGTTTTAACTGCCAAGAATTCCTGTATTTGGATCACAACACAATTTATGTTCTAATGGGATGAGATGGTCTCTTGGGTTTACTACTGTTCTGTAGCGCTCTCTCCTGATAACTAAGGAGAATATAGTCTTCTCTAGGCTTGCTAGTGATGAATAAGCAGCAAATCGTATGCTTTCCTCTTGTCAGCTGAATACCAAACTACCTACAGATCTTCTTTCTGTATCGAGTGTACCCAGCGTAATGCTTAAAGTTCGGTACGTTCCCTTCGCTGTTCTCTTCAGTTGTTATTCTGACACCTGACCGGTTTTAGCCTGGTGCGTAGGATTAAAAATTAAATAATTGTATTGCCATGGATTTAGGAAGCGGAGGCTTTAAGACATGTTTGGTAGCAATCTTGACTTGGCAGTGCTTTTTGAGAGAGAAGTTTAATCTCCCTTTGCCCTTAGGGTTGTCCAGCTTTCTTTAAGGGTGCACTTTCAAAAAAGGAGACAAGTCAGCCACATGTCCTAGGAGGGAGAAGTCCTCTATTGAAGCAAGGCAGGAATACACAGGTTTATGCACTGTTATCCAGTCACTTTGGGTTGGTTTGTTTTGTTTTTTTTTTTTCAGGACTGAGTTTTAAATGTCTGCTTTAAACCTGTTACAGCTAAAATCTGCAAGCTGATGTGGAATCCCACGTGAGCTGATACACACAGGATTATAGTAATTAAAAGTAAAGGAGGTGATTAAAATCCGTATTTTATGATCCACATACGCAGTAGCCGCGTCTATGAAGGTTGAAATTCAGTCTATAAAAGAAGTCCAAAATTAAACTCGGATGCCTTTTGGCAGCTGGTTGGTTATGATAAACCATGAGAAGCACAGTTCTGTGCTCTGAAGCAGCACAGTTGTAGGATGCGTTTAGTTAACACCGATATCTGATGTGTCTTTGCCAACCTGTCCTAGGGACCTGTAGGAAGCCTTTAATTAAAGCAGCTCTTCTAATTCGCTATCTCAAGTTCTTTATTGAAGATTGCAACCCAAAAGTAAAGGTTTGGGTTTTTTTATTAGGATGTTTAGGGATGTTTCTGGATGTAGTAATACAGACAGAGTTTTGTTTGGAAAGGCTAGCTTAAGAAATGCAATACCTTCCCCACGCTGGCTTGGAATAGCTTTGGTTCAGCCCTGTTATCAGGAATATGCCGTTTCTGCAGCGTGGCAATATGGTAACTACTAAAAAGTTACACGCGTTCAGTTACTGTGTGCTCCCATGGGTAATATAAACTACAAGCAAGGACTACAGCAGTCTTAGGATAGTGCGGTGACAACAGCGGCTGGAATTTGGGTCCCAAAAACCATAGAAACGATGAAACAGTACTAAAGGTTGCTTAAGGCATTGATTGTATGAAGAGAAGCAGCCCAACATTAAAACTGCCAAGATATTTCAGGGCCACAGAAGCAGCTTTCTCCCAATAGCTGAAAAAAGAGGAAAAAAAAAAAAGAAATACGGCCAGTTTTCCTTGGGCGGCTACTGTGCGAGAGGGACGATAAGAAGAGGACTTGCGGGATTACCTCTGGGGATGAGGGTGAGTCGCGTACCCGTGCATCTTCCGCAGCGTACGAGCCATAGCCTGAAATGACTTTGCACAACTCGCTCCATGTAAATATCACTTTATAGTTTGTGTCTCACTAGATCTAATGGTAATTTAGATACCACAAACTATAAAATATTTAACAAAGAAGTTTTTAGCTTTTGTGTACCGTGTGAAGTACCACAAATTTTGTGCATCTCGGAATGAATTTTAAGTCTCACTACATGGAAGAATACTAAATTGCGTTACACACTTTTTTTAGGGAAAAAAACCCAGAAACCCCAGTATATTTGAGTTCCAGTGATGTTTCACATTGGCAAGAAGTGATAGATAATATAAAGATTTTTTCATTATGTAAATGTATGTCTTGTTGTATATAGTTCAATTTTTCCTGTATTTAATTGTATTCATGTCTGTCTGTCCCATCTATGTTGGACTCTGCTGGTAGGCAAACAGTTCTTTTAACAAGTGGAAATAAAACTATGGATTTGATCAATCGGAAGCGCTCGTTCTTTTAATCCCACTGTATTAATTGGTTTGGAGGGGAAAAAACATCCTAACTCCCCAAACCTTTTAGTTCTTTGGGCCAGTGTGTGTCGTAGGGGGAGAAGGAGGCGGGAGAGAGGAGGGGATGGCGGGGAGCGGGGGGAACTGGTGCGAGAGGGCTGACGTTAAAGGCCGGCAGGGTGTTGGGGTATCGCCCTGCTGCGAAGCTGCCGACGAAGCTCGCGTTGCCCGTTGCAGGCGCGTGGTGTGGGTGAGGCACCGCGCTGGAGAGCGGGCGAGGGGGAATGGCGAGGAGGGGAGCCGGCAGGTTTGGAAGTCACTGTAAAGCTTATTTTACTTCTTCTCCAAACAACCTAAATAGATGCTGTTCCCTTGAAGTTTTTTTCCTGTCCCTCTTATTTGTCTTACGTTTTTCAGAAGTTTCTTCAAGGAAAAGAAGGAAAACCCCATTTCTATTCAGGCTGGCCATTTATGTATGTATAAGCAATTTATAGGGCACGTTCACCAGGGTTGTCTCTGTCTGCAAATGCACTGCATTAGAGGTCTACTTGTAATCTTACTTATTCAGTCGGTCTTAGAACAAGAGTTTTATGGCGGACCTGAACAGCTGCCGTGTGAGTAAATGTATTATTCTGAACTACGTTGCTGCTAATAACAGTCGTTAAGTGCCTATTTTTCCTATTGATCCTCGTTTACAGCACTGATGCCTTTCTGCACCTTCTAGTTGCACGTTCTGCTTCCCTGCCCCGCCTGCCCTACTCCTGGCTGTGCTGGGGCACAGTTTTCCTTTCTGGTAAGAAAAAGGTTCCCTGCGTTGTAGGATTTCAAAATGAGTCTGCAAAGAGAGCTCGCGTTCCCTGGGCAGAGAACGTTACGGAAATGGTCGCCTGGGCGAGTCCCGCGCTGAGGATGCAGGAGGCTGAAAGTCAGTGCCCGGCTTTCTCTGACAGCAAATCCAAGCCTTAGTCTTCTGCATCCCAGGTGAGAACATAAGGTGATTTGCTCATGTTTGTGAGGAAAATTCTTGAGTTACTATACATGTAAGTGTAGGGGGTTTTTTGAAGTATTTCCTGTCATGTGTAGCAGAAATCTTACAACCATCAAAACTGATTAGGTTTATGTTTTGGGAGGGGCTTATGCATAACAGTTCTGAATACTTCACCTACTGTGACCAGAATCTGCCTGTGGGCTCACTGATGGTTACGCCTGGCACGTAACAGGTAACCTAAGTCATTTAAGAATAGAATAGGCTATTTCAGTCGGAAGGGACCTGCGATGATTGTGTAGTCCAACGGCCTGACCGCTGCAGGGCTGACCAAGAGCTAAAGCACGTTGTTAAGGGCACTGCCCAAATGCCTCTTAAACACCGATGGGCTTGGGGCACCGACCACCTCTCTAGGAAGCCCGTCCCAGCGTTTGACCGCCCTCTCGGTAAAGAAATGCTTCCTGATGGCCAGTCTGAGCCTCCCCTGGCGCAGCGGTGAACCCTTCCCACGCCTCCGATGACCGGATCCCAGGGAGAGGAGCTCGGCACCTCCTTCTCCACGTCCCCTCCTCGGGAAGCTGCAGACAGCGATGAGGTTGCCCCTCAGCCTTCTTTTCTCCAAACTAGAGAAGCCCAGAGTCCTCAGCTGCTCCTCACAGGACATGTGCCTTCCAGCCCTGTCACCAGCTTTGTTGCCCTCCTCTGGACGCATACGAGTACCTGAACATCCTTCTTAAATTGCAGAGCCCAGACTGCACACGCTACTGAGGGTGAGGCCGCCCCAGTGCTGACTACAGCGGGATAATCCCCTCTCTTGACCGGCTGGTTATGCTGGGTTTGATGCACCCCAGGATGCGGGTTGCCCCCTTGGCTGCCAGGGCGCACTGCTGGCTCCTGCTGAGCCTGCTGTCAGCCAGCACCCCCAGATCCCTCTCTGCAGGGCTGCTCCCCAGCCGCTCCTCTCCCCGTTTATACTTGTGCCCGGTGTTACTCCATCCCAGGTGCAGAATCTGGCACTTGGACTTGTTAAATTTCATCCCATTAATCCTAGCCCAACGCTCCAATCTATCTAGATCCCTCTGCAAGGCCTCTGGTCCTTCAAGAGAGCCAACAGCACCTCCCAGTTTGGTATCGTCAGCAAACTTGCTAGTGGTGCATTCAGCTCCTGCATCCAGATCATTGATGAAAATATTGAACAGAACTGGCTCTAGAATTGAGCCCTGAGGAACACCGCTGGTGGCCGGTCACCAGCCAGATGTAGCCCCATTCACCACAACCCCCTGAGCTCTGCCCTTCAGCCAGTCCTTCACCCAGTGCGCTGTGAACCCGCTCATCCCACAGCTGGACAACTTGTCCATAAGGATTCTGGCAGGGACAGTATCCAAAGCCTTACTAAACTCCAGAAAACCTACATCCACCGCCTTCCCGTCATCCACTAGGCGGGCGACCTTATCATAGAAGATTATCAAATTATGTGAACCCATGTTGACTGTGCCTGATGATTGCACTATTCTTTAAATGCCTTTCAGTACTACCCAGTATGATCTTCTCCGTAATTTTTCCAGGAACGGAGCTTAGCCTAAAAGCTCTGTAGTTCCCTGGGTCTTCCCTCACGCCCTTCTTGTAAACTGGAATAACACTGGTTGGCTTCCAGTCACCAGGGACCTCCCAAGGCCTTTGGCAGGTGACCAAGAGGGGTCCTGCCGTAACATCTGCCAGCTCCTTTGGTTCTCTGGGGTGAATCCCACCAGGCCCCATGGACTTGGGAACATTCAGCTGATACAGCTGGTCCCTGATGATTTCAGTGCCCACAAATGGGAAGTCACTGTTCCCACACTCAGGGTCCTCTGACTCAGGCAGCACTCAGGGCAGCCCAAGGTCTATCAGTATTATTAAAGACTGAGGCAAAGAAAAAAAAAAAAAAGCACGTTCAATGCCTCTGCTTTATCTTCATCCCTGTTAGTCAGGTGACCATCTCATCTTCAACAAGTATGGGGCCAATATTTTCTTTAGACCACCTTTGGCTTTTGCAGTCCAGTGCCAGTTTTAAAATGACAAAATGGGAGAAAATTGATGAGTGGCGCAATGTGTTGCTTAAAACTGTGCATAAATCTATTTTTGGGCTTAGTACAAGGACCAAACTTAGTGTAAGGATTTTTCTCAAGCCTGTTGTGTTTTAATAATGTCACAATTCAGTGTTAATGGGTCTCTTAAGGAAGTGATCGAAGAAATACAGAGGAAGCTTAAGAGGAAAAAAAAAATCCGTCAGGCTTCCTTTAACTCAAGGTTATCATTGACTGCCGGCGCCATTCCATCCCACTGCATGGCCTCAGTGTTTCTTAACCTGAGAACGGATTAATAGCCTGCTAATTAGTTTTGATCTTTCTACTGACAGAGGCAAAAGAAAAAAAGAAAAAAAAACAGGGGGGGCCAGGGGAGATCCCAAAATCCATAATGAGACTGTGATGAGGAGAATGCAAAGGTCATCCAAGCTTTGGTACGATGACTTTTCCTTTTAACTCACGGGGACTTAGGATTCTGTGATTGGATATGCACCCAGCTCAAACCTAACATCAGCGCGAGTCCTCCTGACCTCTTCAAAGTCCTTCATTTCCGACTTCAGTACAGACGGTGAAGTTTGCGGGAGCCAGAGTAAACTCAGCAGTGGTCAGTTGTATACTGGTCTGTGTATTTAGGAGGACTATAAACTAGTTATGGGTTGGTTGTATGCCTTTAGGTGATGTCTTTGTGTGTCCATTGGTGCTCTTGTCTTGCCTTGCCTGAAGCCCCTACAACTCTTGTTTAGAGAAGACTAATTACCTGGGAACTATCAACTCCAGAAATCTGGCATTGGGCATTATTTCACTTTGGTTTTGAGGCCATAACATGATGTCTACACCTTGACAGCAGCCCCACTCCATCCCTTTTCTAGGATAACAGTGTTCGCAGTCTACATAGAGACGAGGGCCTACACAGTCCACCGGAATGGGCGCCTTTGAAGCTGATGGAATAATCCAGAACTGTGACAGGAGCGGTGAGCTAAATCTTCTAGAATGTTTGGGACCACGGAGGACTCGTGTAGTCAAGCGGCTTCGTCGCAAAAGCAGTGGATTATCCTGCGTACGCGTTTCTTCCCACTTGTTCGCTGCGGTTTGCTTTGTCACAGCTCCGGGAGCAGCTTTGGCCTGTTCCTGGCTGTGCCCTTCTTCTGAAGGACTCTGTGCTGCTCTTTGCAGCGTAGGTCAAGGTCAGTATCTGGAGCAAGTGCATTTCTGCTTTGCCTTCCTGGTTTGTTTGACCGCAGTGGAACAAGTCTTCTAGTAAGACTTACCTTTGGATTACGTTACTTAACTAGCTTTAAGGCTTGCCAGGGCTTCTGTGCTGTCAGACCTGTAAAAAACATACGGGGGCAGGGAATTCTAGATGGTTTCAGACCCACGGAGGAAAAAAACACAGTGTCAAGAGGCGGGGGTTTTTTAAGATGGATTTGTAACAAAGCTTTCTGTAGGCTTGGTCATTGGACACCGAGTTGTCTGTCAAGGCCTTTTTTCGGTCTTTTGTGCAGTAAAATGCACGTTGCCTGGCAGGCTTGATTCCTAGGCTTTCTAACCGCTTTACAATTTCTTTCAAAGAAAATATTTCACCTACTGATTTGTAATGCCTTCTCTTCTAAAATTAGTTATTTGGCTTGTTTGGGGTCCTCCTGCTGCCCCCCCCCCCCCCCCCCCCCCCCCCCCAGCTCCTCGTTGCATGTTGGACACAGGATAATTTTACCCTGAGCAAGCTTTAAGATGTGAACTTCTGTACTCCACACAAACATTGCCTCCAGAGTCAGTCAGTTGTTTTTCAGTTAAACTTAATTGGGATTCCTTAGTATCTTTCTAGTTTGCTAACAAACTAGCTTGTTCTGGTGCTTAGCTTACGAAAAGGCTAAGAATGACCGAGACTTCAGGCCCCGCTGTAGGTGTCTGAGGCTCAAACACCAAGCTCTGGGACTTCCCCTCCAGCTTTGGACAGAACCTGGTGACTCAGGAATGGGACTCTTGGAGAGGGGGTGGATGTAAGAGAGCAACCGTTACAGACAGGTAACCTTCTCTCTTCTTTTCTTACAGGTTTGGAAGAAGATCGTTCTCAGATACTGAGAAATCTGGACTTTTTAACAGCGCACTACCTAAAGGAATAGACGGAATTGTAGCTTCCTTGCAATTAACTTTGTTGGTGTTGGTACCTCTTGCTTTTTTTTCTGTGGTTTTAGATCAAGAAACACCATGAGCGCAGTAAGTATTTTACTGCTCAAGGCAAACCTGATTCTTAAAACGTGTTGTTGATGGTGCCTCTGTAAACGTTTTTAAGCGTTTGCAGTAAATGCACTGGAACACAAGCATATGAAAGCTTCGCGTAACTGCACGTTCTGTGCTACTTCAGATGTTTACTCTCGCTGGGTGCTAGCAGTAGTTCAGAAATGCTTACAATGCGAGCAAAAACCTTAGGTCAGACTGATTCCGATGGCTGGCTGGAAGCGAACATCTGACATAACTGTGAACTAGTCTTCTCACTTCTCTCAAACCATCACGATATGTTTTTTCCTTTGTGACCCAACTGGTAAGACATCTGGGGTGATGTCTGTTCCTTGATGCGAGGCGTTCAGGTAGGAACGACCCACCCACCGTTCTTTGCCTGTTGCAGCCTTTCAGGGGAGTGTTTTGTGCCTCCTTGTGTGCTTGCATTGGTGCTGCAAAGATGAGGGCCACGTTAACATTACTCCTAAAGAAAATGCTAAGGCTTTGCTCTCTCGTAGACTCAACGGAAGCGCCGTGGAGGAGCAGTTAATTCTAGGCAAGCTCGCAAACGAAACAGGCTGGTGGCTTCTACTGCAGAAACGGCTTCAGAAGCAGAGCCAATAGAACTTGAAGAAAGTGGTAAGCTTTCTTTTTAACTTGGGAAGAACGTACAGTGCCTCTGGAGGGTTGGGGTCTTAGTTAATGTGTATTTCTGCCGGTTTCTAGGCCCTTTGCTGGGGAGGAAGGGAAACCTCTGATTTTAGAAGGCGCCCAGTATGGCAGCTATAAACAGCAAGCCTACTGACAGCTGTTGTAGTTTGTTACTGAGGTGCGATGCATTCACCACCAGCGATAGATGAGTTGTCTAAGAAAGGTGCTCAAGGGCTGCTCAGCCATCTGAAAGCCCCGTCTGATGAGCTGGGAGTTACTGCAGCTGCCGCTCCAGATAATGGCAGACTAAGTTTGGCAGCTCCAAGGTTGCAGAAGATAATTCAAAGTTTGTCATTAGTCGTGCCCCATCCCTCAAGGGAAAATTTACAGCATGGTACTGTAAAATCATTGTATCCTCTGGGATTCATGCATTATTCTGTGTGATAAACGTTGTCCTATGTTAGAGGAATAATCTGTTGCTGTGTCCCTCCCACAAGCTGGTGGCGTACAGCAGAACTGTATGCGGAGCTCAGCCGCTGTTCCTCTTGCACTGCGACTTGCAGGAGACAGCGGTGGTAATGCTCTGCGCTGGCTGTTGAGGGCAAAGCCTGAGTGAACTGTTGGCTGCGTTCGTGAAGAGAGGGGGGATAGGGCAAGGCTGAATCATACCTCAGCCTGTTACATACTGGCAGGCAATTGTATTCCTCTGCGATCTCTGATCCTTATGTGCGTTGTGTTTTAAAGCTGGCGAAGAAGTAGTAGACCTCACATGTGAATCTTCTGACCCTGTAGTCGTTGATCTAACTCACAATGATTCTGTTGTGGTAAGTAGTGGATGGCACACCTATCTAAATCTGGTGGTCAGATTAGTTTTGTGTTGTGCTCCCTGATAGAATCGGGCTTTAAGGATAAGTTTTAAGTTCAACGTTGACTTGTCAGTGCCTGAAAGCCATGCGTTACAGGTCAACACCGAAGCTGCTCTGGAGGTGCACTTGCAGATAGTGAGAGGGTAACCTAGAACAGCTTTTTGCTCCAGGACTTGGGGAGAATATCTGCCGGTCATGGGTAATGTAAGAGAAGGAGATGCAATTGAAAGTTGAAGCTATGATAGATACATCAAAGGTATAGGCCAGTCCTGTCAGAGAGATGCCAAGCACGACTGTAGCTGACCGGGGTACAAACTAGTTCCGTTTATTACTCCAAGAAGTCTTAAAAAAATCCACTTTATAACCTCAGTTTATAACCTCAGTTTTGGGATGCCGCTGCTGCCGTGCAGAACCAGAAACGAGCAGCAGGAATCGCG